CTCATAGGCCTCAGAGACACAATGGCCTGCAGCCTGGCTTGTGTACTTGCTGAAGTTTATCTTACCTAGCATTAAGGGGCCCGGGTTCATTCAATCCTTTTGGCCTTTCTTATGACACATATGCAAATAACTGCGGATGAAGATAAACCTTACAAAAAGAAAATAAACATGAATATCATAAATTAAAGAAACCCAGTGCTGAGTGTCCATTCCTGGTGGTCTGCTTGTCTTCACAGTCCTGTTAGAGAAATGCTATGCCTGTATTTTTTCAGTACGACCTACTATTACAGGAGACAAATTCTGAGGCTAAAATAATAAAATATCACACTTTCTCAGAAGGCCTGCCAAAGAGAAATTTTTCAGAAATCCGCAGAGTGGGGTTTAGCACACATTTCAAAACAGTCGAAGCAGTGAGACTGTAAGCAACAAACAACACTTTGAAATACACATACGTGGGTCTTTTTTTTTTAAGACTGGTCAAGCGCAGTAACATCTGTGAGTCTCAGTTACTACACTTTGCCCAGCAGTGTCTGCTTGCTGCCGTGGGTGAGCAGTGAGAGATGAAATGCCAAGAAAGAAAGCAGTGTCTTTGGAGACGATTGGAATGCCAAGCTTGGCATTAAAACGGATTTGGAAGAAGACTTGTTGAAAGTTCCCTGCTGCTCAGACACCCTGGAGAGGGGGATGATGCCAGTGCTGGGTCACAGGCAAGGCAGGGCAGTCTCCCAAGCTGCAAGGAAAGCAAGATGGCTAGATCTGACAGCGCAGCCCTGAGGCTGGAGCTACTCAGAGGGGCCCAGGAAAGTGGCGAGGGTTCGGCTTTTGCTCATAGGCCTGCAGGGGAAGGCAGCAGGAAAGCAGAAATTTGGAGGGCCTGAAGTGAGCTTAGCGGGCCTGCAGCCTCATGGGGGTTCCAGAGAGTGCAGCTCAGACGGCACAGGCAGAAGTGCCTGGGAGAAGGCCTCATGCCCGGCACCCAAGGGAACCAGCATCCAGGGCCCGTATGCCACCACTCACCCTATCACTGCCCCTGCCCCCAGCATCTTGACGGATTCTGTTCAGGCCCCCAGATTTCAGGTGCAAATCCTGGGGAAGGAAAGATGGAGAATGAAAGAAAAAAAAGGTGCCAGTTCCAAGCACGCAAAAAAAAAAAAAAACCAGATTGGCTGAATGATCTTGAATTAAGTTTCTATGGTGGGATGAAATGAGAGTCCTGGATTGAAATGAAGTTACAGAAAGGATTTCAAGCACATTGGGGATTGGGGTTGAGAAATCTATACCCGATTAGAGTGCCTAGCCAGTGCCAGGTGAATGAGCACGCAAATACAACAGCCAATATTCTCCCCAAGGTCATGGTGTTTTGATAATTATCATTTAGGCAGGTCTGTCTTCTCTGATCCTACTCTAGTCTCCTTTAAAATAAATAAAAAAGGCTTTCCTTTTCCATAGACTTTCTTACTCTCCCTCACAATCTTCACCATCTCTCAAGGGGAAAAAAACGTGCAAAGCACACCTCCTGTGCGTTTTCATCTTCTTCCTTTGGCTTCTGTCCCAGGCAACCCCAGGGGCTGGGGGTAAGAGTTGCTGCAGCTGCTGTGTCTTCCCAGCTGTAGGCCCACACTCTATCTGGGACACTGGAGAAGCACAGCCCACATGTCCTGCAGTGGGGTGAATTAATTGGGTCAACAACTGCTGGGGTGTCCCTCATGCCATTACCATAGAGAAAGAGATCCTATGCCAGGCTGGGCTTTTGGTGAGTGTTTGAACTGAGGTCATTCTGCCCTCCAACTGTAAAGGCTCAGGAGCTGTACCTCCTGACATACACACACCCATTCAAAGAGCACCTTAGCAACCCAGGCTTGTGGGGGAGCAGGAATGGTGGAAGGGGCAGTCGTAATAGGTTGAGACCCAGGGGTTGGAACTTGAGGCTCACCTGCTTCACTATGTGCCCCACCCTCAGAAGGTGAGATACAAGCAGTCACTAGACACAAATATATTAAACGCTGGATACAAATGAAAGGTTCCTTGTTAGCTTTAACAACCCCTCTAAGATCACAGTAAAACACTTAAGATGTGTAGATACAACACAGCATTTGTCCCAGTGAATAAAGCACTAGACATTACCTTATTCCTTGAAATCTTAACTTTTAGAATACGTAATGTCAAGTTTTATTTATCACGGAGGTCAATTTGCCACTTTTCCTAACTTCTTTCAAAAACCTGTTTATATACACTCTCCCATTTATTGCAAGAAATAACCAGTGAGCTTACTATGATGCTTTTTGCTATTCGCCTTTTAACAGATATTAAGTGTCTTGGCTGAAATCACCCAGCTGTCTAGGAAGGCAAAAACCACAGGCTGGGATGGACTCTCCAGAGTCGACAGGAAAGTACGAGGGCCTCCACCAGAGAGGATGTGAACAAGATTTTGAAAGAAACAGGAAACAGTCCATTGCAGCTTTAAAATCTTGATTTTAAAATACACCAGTGTGTTAGTCCATTTTGCATGGCCATAAAGGAATACCTGGGGCTGGGCAGTGTATAAAGAAAAGAAGGTTATTTGGGTCACCGTTCTGCAGACCATGTGAGAAGCGTAGTGCCAGCATCTGCTTCTGCTGAGGCCTCAGGAAGCTTCCATTCGTGGTGGAAGGCAAAGGGTGAGCAGGTATGTCACATGGTAAAGGAGGAAGCAAGAGGGAAGGGAGGAGGGCCAGGCTCTTTAAACAACCAGCTATAACATGAACTAATGGAGTGAGAACTCACTCACTACCATGAGGAGGTCACCAAGCCATTCATGAAGGGCTCACCACCCAGGACCCAAACACCTCCCACCCGGCCCCACCTCCAACATGAGGGATCACATTTCAACATGAGATTTGGAAGGGAAAGACATCTAAACTATATTATTCTATTCCTGGTCCCCCAGATTCATGTCCTTCTCACATTGGAAAATACGGTCATCTCTCCCCAATAGTCTCCAAAAGTCTTAACTCGTTTCAGCATCAACTCAAAAGTCCAAAGTCTCATCTGAGACTCAAGACAAATTCTTTCCACCTATGAGCCTATAAGACCAAAAACAAGTTGTTTACTCCCACTATATTAATACAATGGTGACACAGTCATTGAGTGAATATTCCCATTCCAAAAGGGAGGAATTGGAAGCAACAAGCCCTATGCAAGTCTGAAACCCGCAGAGAAGACATTAAATCTGAAAGCATCAATATAATCTCCCTTAACTCCATATTCCGTATCTGGGGTACACAGTTGTGTGGGCTGGGCCCACAAGGGCTTACGCAGCCCTGCCTCTGTACCTGCTTTGCAAGGTGCAGCTGCCGCTCTTGCTCTCACAGGTTGGAGTTGAGTAACTGTGGCTTTTCCAGGCTCAGGTGCAGGCTGCCAGTGGTCTACCATTCTGGAGTCCGGAGGGCAGAGACCACATTCCCACTGCTCCACTACGTAATGCCCAGGTGGGAGCTCTGTGTGGGGACTACAACCCTACATATTGCTTTGGAACTACCCTAGAAAAGGCTCACCATGGGAGGTGGGGGCGCTGCCTCTGCAGCAGACTTCTGCCTGGGCACCCAGGCTTTCATACCCTCTGAAATGGAGGTGGAAACTGGCAAAGCTCCACCACTCTTGCATTCTGCATGCATGCAGACTTAATGCCATGTAGGAACTATGAGGGCTAGTGGTTTGCACGCTCTGAAGTAGTGGCCTGAGCTCCTACTTAGGGCCCTTTGAGTGGAGACTGGACTTGAGATGGCTAGGATAAGGGAAGCAGCACCCCAAGGCAGCACTGAGTAGCCATGCCCCTGGCCTGTCCCTGAACCAGTCTGTCCTCTTAGGCCCCTGGGCTTGCGATGGGAGGAGCAGCCTGGAAGATTTCTGAAGGGCCTTTGAGGCCTTTTTCCCACTATCTTGGCTATTAGCACCTGCTTCCCTTTCAGTCACGCCAATCTCTCTAGCAAGTGGTTGCTGCTCATGCCTCTTGGACTCTTAACCTTTGGGTTCCTCTCCTGAAAATGTTCTTTCCTTCTCCACCATGGGCAAGGCTGCAGATTTTCCAAATTTTTACACTTTACTTCCCTTTGAATTATAAGTCCCAACTTTAAGTCATTCCTTTGCTCCCGATCTGACCACAGATTGGTAGAAGCAGACTTGCCACCTCTTGAAAGCTTTGCTGCATAGAAATTATTTTTCCTCCAGATACCCTAAGTTATCACTCAAGTTCAGTCTTCCACAAACCTAGGACACTGGCACAATGCAGCCAAGTTCTTTGCCAAGGTGTAACAAGGACGACCTTTGCTCCAGCTCCAAGTAAGTTCCTCATTTTTTTCTGAGACCTCATCAGAAATACAGCTTTCACTGCCCATATTTCTATCAGCATTTTGGTCATAATCATTTAACCAGTCTCCAACATGTTCTGAGAAATAAAAACAAAGCCCTAAGCCCTTCCCCCCACCCAGACTACTGAATGGACCCCCTCTTGGCCAAGGGGACCCCAAAGAAACCTTAAAGCTGAGTCCCAGCCCTGATGCAATGGGAGGTCAGACATGCCTCGTTAGAGCCCCTCCCTTGGTAACCTCCACTAAGCTTTCTTCTCTAAGGGCTAAATGGGAACCAGCCTTTTTTTTTTTTTCATTTTTTCATTTTACTTTCATTTTTTTATTTTACATACATGTGTTGAACATGCAGGTTCATTACATAGGTATACATGTGCCATGGTGGTTTGTTGCTCCTATCAATCCATCATCTAGGTTTTGAGATATTTATCCTAATGCTCCCCCTCCCCCTCCCCCTCCTCACCTGCCGATAGGCCCCAGTGTGTGATGCTCCCCTCCCTGTGTCCATGTGTTCTCATTGTTCAACTCCTACTTAAGAGTGAGAACATGCGGAGTTTAGTTTTCTGTTCTTGTGTTAGTTTGCTGAGAATGATGGCTTCCAGCTTCATCCATGTCCCTGCAAAGGACATGAACTCATTCTTTTTTATGGCTGCATAGTATTTAATGGTATATATGTGCCACATTGTCTTTATCCAGTCTATCATCGATAGGCATTTGGGTTGGAACCAGCCCTTTCAAAAGACTCACCTCACCACTGATTTTAAACAACCACGTTATGCTGGCCCTCCCTTTTGCAGTTTCAGTAAGCCAACCAACCAGTGTTCCTTCCTGATAAGAGACCACCAACCACTGAGAGCTTCTGGTCAATCTAGGGAGGCCGCACACTGACTGAGGGTTTTTGTGTCTTCTGCTTCATCTTTTGATGAAGAGGCCCAAAAACTCCCCCCTCACATCTTGCTAACACTACCATTTTTTTAACATGGGACCCCACGAAGGGGCTTGGAGGTCAAGTGCACATGTGCATGTTTCTTCTTTCATAAATATTTGTGGCTCCTCCTGTAGCTTGCTGAATATACATTTGGCCACCTCATTCAGCATAAATCCTGTTTTATTCTTCTGACACACCAAGTGCCTGTTTCTGGCTTCTGGCCGGAGGCTATGCTTCCCAGCCATTCAGAATGGCCACCCTGCAGGCTGAAACCATTTAGGATAAATATAGCTCTCCTTTCCACATGTATGAACCTCATCATCCTTTGGTTGACAGTTCCAAATTTTCCCTCATCTTCCTGTCTTCTTCTAAGCCCTCCAAATTCTTCCAATATCTATCAATTGATTCATTTCCAAAGCTGCCTCTACATCTTCAGCTATCTTTATAGCAAAGCCCCACTCCTCAGTACCAATTTTCTGTGTTTGTCCATTTTTCATTGCTACAAATGAATACCTGAGGCTGGATAATTGATCAGGTAAAGAGGTTTATTTTGGCTCGTGGTATGGCAGGCTGTACAGGAAGCATAGTGTTGGCATCTGTTTCTGGTGAGGGCTTCAAGAAGCTTCCACTCATGATGGATAGCAAAGGGAGCAGGGATATCACACAGTTAAGAGGGTGAGCAAGAGAGAAAGTGGGGGAGATGCCAGTCTCTTTAAACAACCAGCTTTCCAGCAAACTCGTAGAGTGAGCACTCATTCATTCCTGTGAGCAGGACGCCAAGCCCCCCGTCATGACCCAAAGTTCTCCTGCTAGACCCAATCCCCAAAACTGGGAATCAAATTCTCATATGAGATTTGGAGGGGACAAATGACCCAACCACCTTAGCCAGCATCTCAGCTCCAGATAATACCAGACTGCTAGAGGGAAGAACACTGTGGGGTGTCCATGCTAGCTGCTTTCCATTGATATTTTCCTCTGAATCTAGAAACAACCAAAAATAACTTGGTGAATGTACTGAAGTTATTTACCATTTACAGAGACCGCAGTGTCACAAAAAAAGACACGGCTAACACGAGGTATAGGTTAATGATACTGGAAGATTTGGTTTCAGTGTACTATATTTCTAACATCTTTCCAGAATCATCTGTCCCAAAACAGAAACCATCTTGTTTCCTGGGCATGCTATGAGAACAGGAAAAGCACTACATTTTTCTTCAAAAAATAATTGCAAAATCTACATGAATTAAATACATTTTTGAGAACTGAACTAAGAGACAAAAATAGCTAATATTTGAGGCCAAGCACTGTTCAGAATATGTACATATCATTCGATCTTCACAATAACCTGAGGAGGAAGACAGTATTTCTATCCCCATTTTGCAGATGACAGAACTAAGGGACAGAAGAGCTAAGGAGCTTGCCCAAGGTCACACTTAAGAGGCAAAATAGAGACCCCATCCCAGAGGAAGGCCTCCATGGTCTATGCCCTTAACTACTGCCCTCTCCTACCCTTCACACATACCTACCTTAATCAAAAGAATAGGTCCAACAATGACAACTTCACTTCCTAAGTGAATCCATAGGTTTAAGGTAGTAACAGGCTACATTATAGACCTTAACAAATCATATTGAAATTCTTCTAAAGAAAAGTCAGTTCAATCTATCACATAACTTTCAAAGAATGATGGGTCAGGCACTGTAGGTGGCTCACGCTTGTAGTCCCAGCACTTTGGGAGCCCAAGGTGGGAGGAGCGCTTAAGCCCAGGAGTTTGAGACCAGCTCTGGCAACATAGTGAGACCATCTCTTTATATATATTTTTTAATTAGCCAAGCATAGAGGCACATTCCTAGCTACTCAGGAGGCTGAGGCAGGAGGATCACTTGAGCCCAAGAGTTTGAGGCTGCAGTGAGTTATGATCACACCACTGCACTACAGCCTGGGTGACAAAGCAAGACCCTGTCTCCAAAAATAATAATGTCACACCACATTTTTAGACACAAACACATTGCTTAGCAGTCATTATCAAATGCCTGTGCTAACTAGGTCAGAAACAGAACCCTAACTGATGGTTTAGGACAGAAATCTAGAAATTGTGCTATAGACTGACTGTCCGTGCCTTCCCAAAATTCGTACGTTGAAACTTGGTCCCCGATGTTATGGTATTAGGATGTGGGGCCTTTAGGAGGTGATTAGGTCATGAAGGTGGAGCCCTCATAAATGGGATTAGTGCCCTTATATGAGGAACCCCAGAAAGCTCCCTCACCCTTTGCCCTCTTGTGAGGATACAAGAACACAGTCTGAAACCTGGAAGAGGGCCCTCACCAGAACCCGATCATGCTGTGAGCTCAGGCTCACAGCCTCTAGAACTGGGAGAAAGAAACCTCTGGATTTTACGCTACCTGATCTATGGTGTTTGTTAGAGCAGCCTCAGCTGACTAAGACAAATGGATTCAATTTAGGCATAAGTTCTTGGTTTCCAGAAAACGAAAAGTCACGATAACGCAATGCTGTCCGCTGGGATTTTTCAGCCAGGGCCTCTCCAGCTCCCAGCAGTGCTGGACTGACTATGTATTTCTAGGGACTCTCCTTGCTCCAGAACCTGCAAGGCTTTCTATGTTCACAGTCTAGTCTTCACTCCTCTCACAATGACACAGAGAGATTGCCAGGGTCTCTCTAAGAAGCACAAACCTGGCCCAATACACATGAGCCCATCAGGCACTCAGGGGCTTCTTCTTCCCCAAACTCCCCAGGAACCATGAGCTCCTAGGATAGGCTCCCCAGAGCACCTCCCTTCTCATTCACCAGGAAGAAGGTCTTAGAGACTGCTCCCCCAGCCTTCTTTTCAGGCCCAAAGGCTTACCTTTTGCCTCTGCCCCCATTCTGCTAGGTTCTCTTATTCCAGTCTGTACATATCAGAAGTCGTCAGGAGCCTCAAGAGAAGCAGATAGAGCCGTGGTGGGTCATTTTACATTTTCCAGACAAACACTGAATTCCTAAAAGAAAACCTCAGCTTACAGCCTTCCCGCCCCCAGGAACTCCTAGCAGGAGAGCCCAGGTCCCGTCAAAGCACATGGCTGCTGCTGCCCAGCCTTCTGCCCAGAGAATGAAGAGGCATTAAAGCCCCACCTGACCCCAGACCCACATCCTGTCCAGCCACTCAACAGCTGGCGGGCTCCCCTTTTTCATGATGCTCTTTCTGCCGTGTCCTAGGGGGCTCAACTCTTGCAGCCTTGATGGTGCAACTCTTGCCAGGTCCCAGGAGGAACGAGCCAGAAACCCCCTGAAGGCAGCAGCTGCTGTGCTTCTAAACTGACTCTTCCTTGTGGTGGCAGGTTCCCTGTCTCCTTGTCTGCAGCTGTGGGTTTAGACAAAGTGCATTATTAGGCTTCTTTCTTCCCCAGGGCCAGCAGGGTTTCAGCATGACCCACTTAGGGGTCATTTCCACAAAAGAAATGTCCTCAGGCTGACAAATCCACGATTCTTCCTTGATACGGGATCTCTTCAGAAACACAATAGCCTAGGTTTCTTCCTCTTTCCCACCCAACCTGCTCACTCACCTCCTCACACTGCCACCCCCACCCCCAACACCGCCACCAGAACACCCATCCTCAGCTTCTATGGAGCCCCTGCCTGCTCCAGCGTGTTCTCCCCATGTTTGTGCCCACATACATCTTCCTACAAGTTCCCCCCTCTCCACACCGCAACTTCAGAGGCTGAAGCTCTCCCTCACTCAGAGAACATTAGCTATTGGTCAGGAATATTGTGCAAAAGACTTCACTTAATTGGAAAAGTGAAGTCACTTCACTCCTGGTGGTCCCCAACGCCCCCTGGCCCTCAGCCACAGGACATAGCTCTCACATGGATGGCAGACACCCTGGTTCACTTCTCACTCTTCGACCCTGGAAGCCAGGGCTCCTTTCCCATCCATCGGCTGTTGGGGGTGAAAGGAAACTCTGTAGTACTATACCGAGGTGACATTTCCACCACCAGCCAACTGCTTGGGTCCCTCGTAATTCTCCACCGGAGACTGCGTCATCTCAGAGTTCTCAGGAATTCCCTTTCCAAGAAAGAAGGTCTTGGATCCTTGGGTCCTTGATCCCTAATGGGATTTTGGTCAGAGGATGTATTCCTGGCAGTTGCCAGCTCTTTGTCCAGTGAGAAGGGGTACAGACTGTGCAGCTACACAAAATGAAGCACCGTGGAAAAGGCACCCTTACAGATGAGACACAACGCCCCCAGGCATTCTCCCTCATCATGGATTGCTCTTTGCAAGAGAAAGTCTCATGCAGTAGGTTCCCTGTGCCTTCCTCTCCGGCCCTGACCTTCACAGGAAACTCTTCTGGTGCCTCCTGGACTACCTGCTGCCTTACACCTGGGCTCTGTACCAGAGTCACCAGCATCCACTCAGAGGACACTGGGCAGCTGAGACCTTTGTTTTTTGCTGAGGCCGGTCCTCGTCCAGTAGGGTACCCAAGCACCCACAGCAGCTGCCCAGGCAGCAAATGTCACTGTCAGTTGGGTAAGACTCACACTTTAGCTTCCCTACATGGACTTTGCTTTGGGGGAAATTCCAGGATTTCAAACTCTCAGGGCCCGTGGTCACTGAGCTCAGTGTTCCCAGTAAGACACACCTGGCAATTGCACCTCTAAGAGCTTGTGCTTCTGCCAGAACAATAAGCTCCTACTAGACCCGTCAAATCCCTTCTCTGATTTGACGTGATGGTCACTGTCCCCTCAGTCTGGCCCCCCAGCATCTCAGTCAGTGGGAACGCCATGAAGCACGATGTAGAAGGAAGAACTGGAGGGAGGGAAAGGAAGCCACCAGTCTCCTGCTGAATCTTGATTAGGGCTCCTAGACAGACCTTCCAGGATCAAAAGGAGAAAACGGATTCTCCTCCTCCCATGGAGAAAACTGTTGGAATTCACATAAACCCTCTGAGCCCAGGCTTCCTCAGGTGTACAATGAGGACCCTGGACTCCAGGATCTCTGAGTGCTTCTCTCTGATAGACAGAACAATGCCCCCCGCAAAGATGCTCAGGCCCTACTCCCCAGAACTTGTGAATATGTCACGTTGTTTGGCAAAGGGGGAATTAACATGGCAGGTGGAATTTAGATTGCTAATAGGCTAACCCTAAGACAGGGAGATTAGCCTCGATTATCAGGGTGAGCTCACTGTAATCACAGGGGCCCTTATAAGTGACAGAGGAAGGCAGGAGAAATAGTGGCAGGATCAGAGACAATTTTGAAGAAGCTGGCTTTGAAGACGGAGGAAGAGGCCATGAGCTGAAGGATGGAGGTGGCCTCTAGAAATGAGAAAAGGCAAGAAAATTGTCCTGCTGTAGAGCCTGCTGCGGAGCACAGCCTTGCCAACATTTTTATTTTAGCCCAGTAAGATGCAATTTGAACCTCTGTCTTCCAGAACTGTGAGATAATAAATCTGTACTGTTTTAACCCATTTATCTTGTGGCTAATTTGTAACAGCAGCCATGGGAAAGTAGTTCACCCTCATCCCTCACATCCACACCACATCTCCCTCTTCCTACTGGCATTCCATCTCCTCTGCCTCCCATCACAGAGCCCCAGGTGCCACCATGGCTATGGAGTCTGCGCTGCAGCCTCACTGCAAATATTTGTATGCTCAGAAGAAAAACACGAGTGTAATCTCCCGTATTTACGGAGGACCTTACTGCTTTTAAATTGCTGTCATACAAAAACAAAACAATTTTGTCAGCATGTTACGTGCCATTTCCTGAGCTGGTCTCTGCAGATGCAAAGACACATGGATGTCATTGGTTCTGTCCAGGAATTGGCCTGGAAAAAGAAACCCGGAGGCACTGCCTGGAATCCTTGATGCCTCCAAAGTTAGACTGGAGTTGGATTAACCCAGCCCCTCTCTGTGGAAACAGCAAACGGCTAGAAGAGTGACATCAATCAGCCACAACTGCTTCAGCCTCATGATATTGGAACAATGATGTCAGATGTGACACGGAAACTACCTGGGTGTATGTGGCTCTTTTTTTTTTTTTTTTTAATCTAGTGAAAAATTCCAAGTCACAGCCATGACACTGACCCATCAAAAGATCCTTTCATGTTTTCCTTTGTGTTAAATGCTCTTTGTGCTTTTCTTTTGAAAAGCACAAAGAAGAGGTGGATGGAAAATTCTAGTAATAAGGAGTGCTAGAGAGAATTCCTGCTTAAGAGCAGGATCTTCAAGAATATATCCTTTGCTTCCTGTCTCCTCTCCCCTTCCTGATTCTCAAAGACATTTCAAACTCATGAATATTCTTTACATAGATGAGTGGGACGAACTCAGACTTGAGAGTTGACCCTTTTTTTCTTTCTTTTCAGAACATGAAGAATTGCCATTAGGACCTGGAAACAAATATGGTGCATAGAAGGCTTACTGACAAAGGAGCCTGAATTCCTCCTCTAGTGCTGAATAGTGACTACTGAAATGGCCAGACCGGCAACAGAGCAGGAAGTAAACCGGCATTCCTATTAGATGGAATGTCCAAGAAACTATAACGTTTTAATGGGGTTGAAGATTACCTGCTTCTATAAGGAGATAGGTATTTTCTTTATCTAGCCAGGTGAGACCACGCATTTAGAGTTATAAGACGGAGTGACAAGATCAGGACTACAATCATGAGTTATCCACAAACTGTCGCAAAGGCAGACAATCTTTTCCGGATGCTTTCTTTAGCCTGAGTGTCTGAACCTACTGTATAAAGGAGTACTGCCAAGACTCGGCAAAAAAAAAAGAAAAAGGCCCTGGTGGCTTCAAAGATTTTGACATTGGAAACCTGTCCCAGTACCTGAAACACACAAAATCATGTGTCAGTGAGCTCAGCTTGGAGCCCACACCTTGGCCAGCTGCCCAGAATTCTCACCCCAGTTCTCTAAAACTCTACTCTTTCTTCTTGGTGGACTACTTTCTGATCCCAAAGGGCAGTATCGACGAGACTGTGATGCGACCGAGACATGGGTAAAAAGGGCAGAGTACACAACACAAGAAGGTTTAGAGGAAACCTGCTTCCAGATGGAAGAACTAAGCTCCTCATGTGTCCCCACAGAGATGCGACGTTGTAGAAGAGAGCTTGCAGACCCAGCTGCCAATGGTCAATCACTGCCACGTGGGAGGAGCTGGCAAAAGACATCGCTAACAATTATGGGAATAAAAACTTCCTTGTTACTTTAAAATTTCAAATCATCTGTTAAAGCTGATAATGGAGGCCACTGACACCTATTCTGTTCATTGTACTCTGTCTCCTCTTTTACTTCCCGCCCAGTCCCTATGCTTTGCCAACTATGTCGTTCACCAGTTGTCTCCCAAGAAGGATGGGAGCAGTGGTTCCCCACCACGTGTATCTTGACAACTTTTCCTACAGCACCTCTTGGCATCCAGCTTCGAGAATCTCCTTCTCCTGCAGTGATTCTGCTAGTCCCCTCTTCCTTTGAAAGACCACCGCCCTTGACTCTCAAAGCACCAACAATTTTCTCCTCTCCTCCCATTTCAGCTCAGCACAGGGCTCTCCATCAGCTTTAGGCATCACGGAGCTACAGGCACGGAGCAATTCGGTGTGCTCACACCAGCAGCAGCATACGAAATCACTGACCAGGAAGCCACATGTTCCAAACACCCTTGTCAAAACCAAGGACCCAAAGAAGTGTAGCCACAGGTTTGTCCCTGGGTAACATGTCAATGGAAAATGGAAATGACACCAGCAGAGGACAGCATTACTCCAGACAGAGGACGAGGGCGCCATGTGGGCCAGGGCTGGTCTGCGGAGAGACGTGGGGCCTTTGACATGGTCTGGCTGGAAACGTTCTCATGAACAAGGAAAGATACATGACATGGGCATTGGAGAAAAAGAGCATCTCGGAAACAGACAGAGGAGGCAGGAGACAAGAGCGTTCACAGCGTGTTAAACTACACAGAAGACCTTTCCCATGGATGGTAGAGAGCATGTAGAAGAAACAGAGGAATGGGATGTAGAAGAGATCACTGGGGCCAGATGATGGTTGAGTCTGGAAAGTTGAGCTGAAAACACAAGACTTTATTCTGTTGGCAGTGGGGCGTCATCGAAGGCTTGAGAGCAGGGGTGGGGTGCTACGGCTGCCTGAGGTCTAAGAAAAATGACTCCAACAGAGTGCATGGCATGGATGGGTGGATGGAGGAGTCTGAAAGCAGAGAGATTGCAATAA